ATAGGAATGCTTCAAATAGGAATGCTTTGCATTTAATATACTTAATTAATATTTTTCTATTAATCTAACTAATGTAATATAACATACATTAATATTTGATATAATATAAAAAAAATTATTATAAATCAAGTGGCATTCGATCTACCTACATAAATATTAGCATTAACTGCAGAATATTTAAAGCACACTCTCCGACATCGACCTATTCGAATAACGAGCAGTACGAGCAAAAATTCACAAGCATTTTTTACCGCAAAGTTCTCCGCTATCTCGTCGTTGGTCAACTTTCGGTACACCGGAGGCTCGAGCTATCGCTCGCGGACTAACTGCAAACCGATGAAACCGCCGCACGCGCAACAGAGGAACAATTCCGTCGCCGAGAGAGATGAGGACGGCGCGCGCGGGTAGTTACAAACGAAATGAGAACAAAGCGTGGAAAGCGCTCGTACAATTTCGAGAGTCTTGCCCGAGACACAAAACCGCGAACGACGCCACGTCGTCTCTCACCGTGGCCCTCGTGTCGGTAGGTATTGGAAATATTAGCATATCGCGTGAGCTTTCACCGAGGTTATCAGCGATAGTCGTAGTAACCCCCTCGGCGCAAAGTTCGCGGGCTAGAGCCTGTCCGAAACGAATATTGAGGCACACGATCTCACGGGCGTGCGGGGTAACTTCAGATCCGGTAGCACGCAAAAATAATCCCTCTTCCCTCCCCTCCCGCCCTTCGCCGCGCCACTTGTGAACCACAATGTTTCCGTGAAAATGACGCCCGTCTCTATTCGCGATTCGACGTGAAATGCATTCCTCCGCCGAGAGGAAACTAATTTTACTTCCTGAATTTGCTGACTCCATCCCGCCAACAGTGACAAATTTACAAACGAGATCGTGATATGTCAAATGTACGAACAGGATATTACTGATCTAATTCCTCTTTAGGATACCCGCTAATATTAGTTCGCGTATTAATCGTCAAATTTTTTAGGTTAACAGTTTGAAGAATAAAATTTCTATACATAAGTATATTAAAGAAATCACTTGAAACAATTTTAAATATTGTAATTTGCTCGAAATTGCTATCTAAACAATTTTTGCGTTTCGTTTTAATAAGTAATCTAATTACGAATGTGTCATAGAAACCGTATAAAGCTATCACTAGCGTTGCTAATTTAATAATTGTGTAAGTACAAAGATATATTAGTAGAAATTCCATTTTGCTTTCCATTTCTGTCCCTATCTCTAGCATAAAAAATTGAATTCACTCTCTTATAATTGCCGATGACTTATTTAACAGAGTATTATTGGTTTAACTAAAAAAATCTACCGATGGATTTCGATATTCCATGTAAAAACACATATGTAATCGAACGATCAAATATTTATCTTGCGAACGTATAGATCGATCGTTTCGCAAAATTCCTCGTCTGAGCATATCGCGCGCGAAGCCCGAAGTTATAAAAAAAAAAGTGAGCTGCACGCCGCACTCAGCGCCGATTCGCGCTCTCGTTCCCGGCCGGCCGAGCCGAATTTCTGCGGTGCAAGACCTTTTTAAGCGATGTCCGTAACACAAACACGAATTCGAATAGACGAGGCGGCGGCGGAGTTTCTTAATGCTATTAATATTCCGAGATTGGAGAGGATCGAGTTGCGCTGCTATCGGCAAAAAAATTCCTACGGCCAGGTACGGGGAGGTCACATGGTAACAGGATTAGGAAACTCTCCTCGCCGCGCCGGCCGGCGCGCGGCGCGACGCGGCGAGCCGAGTCAGCGGGAACGCGAATGCCGGGGTTACACGTACTGTTACGCCATTACGCCTGTACGGCGTGTATCACGTCCGCGTAAATATTAGAACGCAGCAGAACGCAACATAACGCAACGCAACGCAAGGCACCGCGCCGCGCCGTTCCCGTACTCATTTTCTCGCTTAATTATCGAGAATCTCACGGGTCTCCCCTCACAGTTCGCGGCGGCTGCGCTCTCCGTCTCTCGCTTTCTCACGGAGGGTGAGGGAGAAGGAGGGCTGAGAACGCGTACGTCCGCGGACGTCCGACAGCCAATCTTCTTTTCAAGGGTAAATACGAGTAGCTCGCCTCCTTTCGTCGACAGCGCGAAGATTGCCCTTAAGGCTACGTGGATACCGGCTTTAAAAAAGAAAACGCTGATCGAGACGAGCGAAAACGAAAGGGCGCGAGAAATAATGTATTGCGGAATGTACGCCGCTTACGTTAATTTGATCATCTACAGAGGTTTTCTATGTCAAGGTGGACTTGATATGATGCCTTTAAAGCAATTCACCGCATAGTTCTGCGAATACTCGAAGCGGAAAATAATAGGGATATTCATATTCTATAATAGTGATGTGTGCACGAATAGGATACAATTTTGCATTTATATAATTTATATAATACAATTTTACATATATACATATAATTATATTTTCAATTTAATAGAAGAATTTAATAAAAAGGTTTTCAAATAATGAAACGCGATTCTTATGTCGGCAATGCAGATAAGATCAAAATTGAAGCACAATCAAATCTTGATTGCTTCAATTTATTTATTTATTTTTTCTTTATGAAAGTCAAGCCAGCAAAAAATTAATAATGCTAAACAGCACGCAACGATATACGCGGCTTATTCACGGCTTATTAGATCTCTTAAAAATAAAAACCAGACTTAAAAGGGCGGAAAGAACGAAGGGCGAACAAAAGTTTTCGTTCGGGGCGCCGAGTTTCTTGCAGCCGGCGTTGGTCTCATATCCCGCGTATACTCATGAATACGTACTCGTGCACCTTTTCAATCTCCATCGTTCAGTCTCGCCGCGATATTCATTCTCGACCGACGTTATCGTCAAACTGCGATTATGAGGGAATTTCAACGCGGTTTCGTTTCGCAGAGTTTCCCTCCCGACGGGTATAATAAATTCGGCGCGCTGACGACGCGCGCTTCAAAACGCGATGCTTTTAAAAACGAGCAATCGAACAATACGAGAAAAAGGCTCTCGAGCCTGAAAAACGACGTTAAGCGACCGTACAATCCTAAAAAATATGAACGGCGTCAATGCGCAATCAAGAATACTGTATACCAAAGAAAAGTTTTTCGGTAAAAAAATTTTCTTTAAAAAAAGAACGAAAGTTTAAGAATAAGAATCCGATTGAGCACTCCTTTCAGGTCTAAAAGGATCGATTCCGCGTGCCGTTATCAAAATCAGAGCACGAGTTATTCGGGAATAAAAACTCGGAGGGTTACCGCCGATTACATCTATCACAGTATAACCAAGAGGTACAAACGTGCGGCGCGTCCGACCTAATGCGAGTGATACACGCAGGAATGTACATAAAAAGTTGAGCAGCACCAGTTTAAAGTTTGATATTTATATAAAAATATGGAACGTTTTTATTGTGCGCGTTCAACTAAAACGCTTTAATGGGAATCGACCGATCGCGTACCCGGTCTAGGAATCCTCGCGAATTGCATCGATTCATCGCGCTCAATTAATAACGGTCCACTCCGGAAAATCAGGCGCCATCGTGAAAAATAACAATTGAACGCTTTAGTCGATCCCTTTTCGATACGTGAACCAAAAATTTGTGAAAAAAAATTCTACAACATGGAGTATCAATTTATATGTCGATTCGCGAATCACACGAGACGATTGTCGACGACGATTCGCACGTAGTGCACCAACGTCCGCCGTATGTTGGTCGACGTAAAAATATTTATTCCATTTTCAACGCATAAACATACAGCGGCTCATGTACAAAAAAAAACAAATTAAAACGTACTTTTTGTAGGGACGGGAAAACACGCCAATTGTTGCGTTTTTAATATCGCGAATAAGCATCGAAATTATTCTCGCGTGTCTATCCTTGTAGCTACAAAATCGAAACTCGCAAAAAAAAATATTGGATTTTAATACAAGATTGGAAGATGGGTGGGAGGTGGGTTTAAGCGCAAATAATTTCCAAGCTTTATGAGATATTAATTAACGATCGTCCCTAATCTTCTTTCTCGATCTTCTTGCGCACTAATTTTAATTCGTATCGACCTTATGTGTAAATACCCTAATTTGAAACATTAGTATGTATGTATTCGCGTGTCACGCGTGTCAACGTGTTTATATCGAAGCCGGAGAATGCAGAAACTTTCTACTACTGGCGGTACAGAAGATCGGCGATCGAATTATTTTTACGTAAGACTTAATACGCAATGTGTTCCTTTAAGTGTATGGTATATGGTAATACCATGACTGACACTACCTTGACCTTGCAGATCAATATTTTCCAGCGAAACGAAATACAACGAATAAACTAAATGGCTCCCAAATGTACATTATATAATCCTTCTGCGTAATGGTCGGCCGCACGGCTGTAAGGACGCCCGGAATAACGAAAATGTTAAATGACCATTCACAAAAACGTGTTTTTAGTTACCGTGAGTTGGAAATGTCGTCACTTTACGAGAATGTCGCGGCTTAAACTCACGGAACAGGAATCGAAACCGTTAACGCCGGTTCTCGATGTTGAAAAAATATTTTCAAACTTATTTGGAATATTCTTCTCATCGCGAATCGATATCAATTCGACTCTTTTTCAGTAAAAATAAGTTCAAACTTTTGCGGTTTTCAAATAATTAATAATCGAAGATTGTTTTTAGCGAGAAAGTAGATGATGAAGTTATTTTCCTTAATCTCAACGAATAAACGTTAATGGAAAAATTTTGAAACTTTATTGAAGAAATAATGTGTTATTATTGGCACGATACGATAAGCGATGATCTCAGCCGAAGGAGAAGAAGTGTCGGAGAAACAGTCTTCGAGTTAGTCGTAGATGCTGCTTGATTAAAAGAACAGGTACCGTGGGTTTCCTGTACATTCAACCTGACGCTGCTTTCGCGCTCGCCGCGAAAGGTCGCACAAAATCAACACCGCGGTGGATTTTCGTGGGATTCGTGAACGACGCAAAAAAAAAACTCGACTTTGAATCACAGAGGGCCTCTCGTACCTTGTCGGCCGCGAGTCGCGCGACGAGAGCCTCCTTGAGCGGCCCCAGCCAATGGTGGGCCCCGACGAAACGCTTGTTCAGCAGTTTCGTGTGCGGGGCTGCCTGGGCATAGACCGCCTCCAGCTCGAGCACCACCATATCTTCACCCCTAGCCTCCTAGTTTCCCTCCTCTTTCTGGAGCTGGTCAGCCGGTTACGGTGGCCGTCCCGCGACGCACTGACATTTATTGTCACGCACTCGACACAGCTCTCCCTTCGTATCCTCGTGCACATAAGTCGTTTTATCGCACGTGGAGGCGCACCACCGCGCGACCTTAACGCTGTACTGTCAGACCTCCCGCATCATCCTTTCGGGAGCGCGCTACACCTGGCCGCGGCCACGCACCTCGCTAAATCGCACCCACCACCATCACGTGTCGATTTCCCTTCCGATCCAGATCATCGAAAGAGAAAAACGAAAGAAAGAGGAAAAAAATCACATTCTCGTCGATCGAAAATATTTCACGTCGAGGATTCGCGTCGAGGACCGACGTCGGTGGTTCCACGTGCTCCACGAGATTTCTAAACTGCGCGCGACAGACACGACGGTGTCGTTGCCCCGCGATTAACCACACTGCCGTCGCATGCACACTTTCAGAAATTCTTCGCGACTTTCCTCGTCGATCCAAGCGAGTCGCAATTCCGAGAAAATATGTATCGGACAGTCCTCCTCGTCCGTCGCCGAGCCACCCGTTCGGTGCGATCTCTCTTATCCCGTCGCGCGAATCACTGCGTTCATTCGGCACGATGCCGACCCGGTCGGTCGATTGAGGGAGAGGGGGCGGGGAAGGACCGGAGAAAAAGCGAACGACGTTAAAGTCGGGGTTAAAGAGAGACCGCGCGGCGAGTAGTTAGACCCGGCGTGAGATCCGGTAAACCGCGCGCGCTCGCAACGGCTGCCGCGTAGAAAGGCAGTTGAGAACTGACTGCCTCCTCTCTCAACGAGCCTCCTCGCTCCCATGGCCCGAGCTTTGAGTGACGCGAGGCGACGCGAGGCGACGCGACGCGACGCGCCGTGCGGCCGGTGTGACGCGTACATCCCTCTCTCTTGCGGTCTCACTCTCCCTCTTTCCATCCACCGTATTCTCTCGCTTCTGCTCGCCCTCCTTCTCTCCACAATCTCTCTCTCCCTCTCTCTCTCTCAGTTCGCTGCTCCGCTTTTCTCCCTCCTTCTCCGTTATACGCACTCTTTGACCGTCGTCACGTCTCCCTCGCTCCTGCGCTCCGCGTGTCCCGGCTATCTCTGTTCATCTTCCGGCGCGCAGCGTTCCCCCTTAGCTTGCATCGTGGATATATATATGTACATGTACACGTGTATGTACGTACGTACGTATATATGTGTATGCGCACCGTACGGTACGGACTAGAGCTCTATTCGTCGCAGGACCCGCCGAGAATACGGACCTGTCGCCCTCAGCTTCTTCGCCCTCGACGCCTACCCCGCTCTACTGGGGCTTCTATACTCTTAGCCGAGCAGCTACGACAAAGCCTAGAGCTTCCACAATGTCCGATTTCGCTGTCTCTCTCTCTCTCTCTCTTTCTCTCTTACTTCTCGCCCGCCGTCGCCAGGATGCACGTTTCAAGGATCCCGATGATAGAAAAGAATAAAAAAGCAAAAAGGGGAGAGAAAGAATTCCGACTTCTCTTTTCGCGTACCGTGGGATTACTCGGAAAGTTATTTACTCGTACAAGAGGATTTGCCTCAAGTTTCTGAAATCTGTGTCTAAAAGCCACTCTCTCTCTGCCGCTTATAAGAGTTTGTGTCATTTTCGCCACTTGAATCGCGTTTGTTTAATGTAGCATTTGAAACGATTACGTCCACCTAAATCGACAGAATAATATTACAACTTTCACGTTTAAACAGGTTTCATAAATTATACGTAATCGAGGTCGACATTAGACGATAGTAGAAGCTTATAGTAAAGTATATGTCCTAGGTTACTATTTACCCTCTTAGTATCAACGATACACCGTAGCTTCTCGAGAAAATAACACGGAACGGATTCTCGTAATTTTCTAAGTATTTGCCTTTCATTAAAACGTTTTCATTCTTTATTCTGACATTTCGTCCCGCCCTCCCCCTTTATACCTTTGTTTGATGATTGATAATAGTTGAAATATACAAAAAATAAACAAGAAAAAAATGTTATATATTTTAATGAATTCAAAAATTTTGAAGTTAAAAAAAGTTTACATCAAAATAATTTAAAAAAATACGGTAATAATAATAATAAAAAAATGCAGTTGTAAATTTTGTAACATTGATGTAAAGACATCCGTATATTTCGTGATACGTATATTTCGTGATCCTCATTAGTAAATATAATTTACTGATAATTAAAATGTTGAGTTCGTTACTCAAGCAACTAAAATTGTAAAAAATTAATTTTGGGGTAAAAATGTTGCGTAAGATATTTTTAAAAAATATTTAAAAATTATTCGCGAAATACTTACTACAAACTGCAATATTGTAGCATCAAAGTAACCCCAGAGCATCTGTCATTGTTTTGATTTAATTATATTAACTATATTAACATTTTAGTTATATTAACATTCGCTTAAGTTAATAAATATATATATACCAGATAATTTGCACAATGAACAATTATTTATTAATTAATATTTAACAGCTACAATCCGTTTCCGCATTTAATAATCGTCGGACGATTCCCAATGCAAAATGAATAACTACGAATAACGGGATCCGGTGAGTTGGGGGTACCATCATCGAGTATAATTATTGCGCTCGGCACTCCTACAAAGCTGCCGCAATAATCGCCAACGCGAATCGCATCTTCCACGTGGTGGCATGAAAAACGATATACCCTTTTCCGATACATCCGCGATTCACAGTTCGCGAGTAATTGCTTTAATATGGATGATCTAAAACGGCTGTCGAAACGTAAACTTATTTATGAACGCGGCGTACGCAGCCACGCAATATACTTGAACAGGCCTCTCGCCATCTTGCAAGAAAATATATTGTATACACGCACACGTATACCGTCAATTAGATGATAGAGCACGTTGTAATCGCGAATTAATACGCCTATTCCTATATACAAGCACTTTATCCATAAATTTAACCGATGTGATTATTCGTTTTTTTTTTTTGCAAAAGAGAAGAAAGAGGAGACAGTTGTGATGGTCATTCAGAATCAATACGAATGAATTCTAAATCCCTCTTTGAGAAGAAAGTGCCATCTTAATGTACATACTTCTGAACTAAGAAAGTCGAAAGTATTTTGTTAAAGTATTTCCACACATTTATTAATTTTTTTAGACAGAAATTTTCTCAAATTTGAGAAAATCTTTTCATAAACGACTGATGAGTTCATCGTCGCTTCAGTGGCGAGTCTACCGTCAGATGACCGCGCTGAATAATTCAAGATTCCGGAATAAAGGGTATATATCACGTACCCCCGCGTAATTTTCAATATTGACAGACGTGTCTCGAGACACCCTGGAACCCTTCTTCTCTCGTCCCCTTCGTCGGGGCGCGATCTCGCTGCTTTCGTCCCCCCCCCCCTTCCACAAGTGCCTTTGAGGAGCGTCTCGTCCCTTGCCCCAACTACCTGTACTTGCGAGGGTGAAACAAAAGGGCGCGCACCCGCGAGAGTATCACGAAATTCAAAAGAAGACGGCTAACCCGTCTCGCGTTCTCAGTCCTTCTCCGGAGGAGGTACTGCGACAGTCTGTATCGCGTTGACTGGTTTCGCACCGAAAAACCAGTAATTCGCTCACAGGTAAAAATTGTCATGACATCGCATCGACATCATCGGTGGAAATCGGTAGAAGGCTGGTAATCGATCGCCCGTATTTCTCTCATTCTCGATTGAAATTTCCATCTTTCCTTCTCTCTCCCGCTGAGCTTTTTATATCTCTGCTCATTTCTTTCTTTCAACATTAGCGACTATCGCTTTAGCGGCGTGCAAAAGAGCAGCGTGATAAATTAAATGGACTATGACTATTACGTACATAATATGATCTTGGTTAATTAATGTTCGATAATCTTTTTTTAAATATTCGCACCTAAAAGGAAAATTGTTCATGTGAAGAAAATTGCTGTCGAAAGTTCTTCCTTGCTGCCAATAGAAGCTCAAATGAGTGACAGATATTGTACTACGAGAATGAGAGATTTAGTCAAATAAACGAAGAGTTTTAGGTATTGTGCTACGAGAATGAGAGATTTAGTCAAATAAATGAAGAGTTCTTGCCTTTTTGTCGAATACTTAGACAAATTGCAGTTCTCTCGTGTCATAATTTCGATAATACGACGTATCGATCGTAACAAACTTGCAAAGTCCTCAGGAACAAAGAAATGCAAAATGACAGTAGGGCACGAAAAGGAGTGAGACGCAAATGGCAGTCTCTTTTCTCCCTCCCTCCCGTCGTCGATATATCTTGTCCAAACGCAACGGCCTATTGTCTCTCGAGGAATCCTCCTCATTCCCTCATGCGGCGCGGCCTCATATACACCCAACATACCGACACAGAGCAGCCGCGAGGTGGTGGACACAGCCGCCATGAGCGGATGAGGGCGATGACGTTATAAAAGGGAAGCAAAGAATACTCGTAGATGGAGGATGGAAAAATTAGAAAAGAGAACAAAAATACGTGGCGGAAGAGCGCGAAGGGAACTGTGTGAGAGAAGACGGAAAATAGAGTACGTAAAGTAAGACGGTAGCAGAAACAAGACGGACAGTGCATATCTTGACTTCATAAGAAAAATTATAAAAATATAAAAAAAAAAGAAAAATAAATTCTACGCGTACAAAGTTTGAAAATCTCCGGGCTTACCCTCTATTTCTTCCACTAATAAACTTCTGCATCGCGAACTAAAGTCTTAACTATTAAAAATTAAAAACGCTTGAAAAAGAGAACGCGGGGAAACTTAGATACACATTAAAAAGACTTATGTACACAAGAAGGAAACCAACTTCATCCCCCTTTCTTTTTCTTCCTCCTTTCTACAGTTATTTTTATTAAACGTGGCTCCTAATGGCGAATAATACCGCCGCGGCGAGAAATTCCAGAAGTTTTTCGCAATTTCCCGCGCCCTTCTTCCCGGGGTGTTTTCAATTTCCCCAACTCTTCCCGATTTCCTCGCAGCAGCAACCTCGATAAAGAACTCGGGGTATCGTTGGCGTGCATTGCGTTGCAGCACGCCGACGAAAAAAAAAAAGATGAAGGGATGAGACGAGATGAAACGTAATGAAAAAGGAGGGTGAGAGAGGCGAGGAAGGGATAGGAAAAGAAGAGAGGGATGGGCGAGACGGGATGCCGCGGTCGGTCCCTATCGGTCGCAACTACTCCATACCGTATTATTTACACGTCGGCAACTTTCGAGCATCGTCGACGAAGTACATAAACGCATAAATATGCTTACCCGCGAGAATACATCGCGATGCGCACCGTGTACGAGAGGGACGCGAGTCTGAAATGTATGTACGCGCGTACCGTACGGGCGACGACATTAAATTCCAACATGATTTCTGAAAGGCGAGACATTCGCGGCATCGGAGATACGCCCATCCGATACGCACCCGCCGGACTCGCTGAGGTGTGGTCATTGATTCCGGACCACCCCTGCGTGACGCGCGGGGGAGGTACGCCCGTATGCTACCCCAACGTGCTTTAAAGGAACAGAGACATATCCGAATTATTCTATTCATCCCGTCAAAGATTATAAACACATAATTTCTCAAAAGATAAAAAAAAATGGTTTATACAAGGTAGTACTGCTTCGTACATTTATTACGCTCCGTAAAATCATTCCCGTGAAAGACAAAACGACGGTTCACATCCGCGGA